TTATTGCTGGTTGCCTTTCTAAGCTTAACTCTGTCATGTTGCCCCTGCCATGCCTCATTCCAGATGGCATTCAGATAAGACAGTTCGTGCCTCACATGCCAGCACTAAATCCTGAGCCAGTTTGGTCAGAAATATTAAACATGATTTCAGAACATCCTTAGTGTCTTGACATAAGAATTGCTGATCGGAGCTGTTTTGAGATAGATGCACCTTACCTGTCCACCCTGCCAGGACTAGTTCTGCCAACTATTTATTTTTTTCTTTCTATATCAAGGTTTCATAAAATAGAATATACCATTAATGGCCCATAGCCCCCAAGTCTGGAAATTTTGCTTGGAGGCTACCCTCAGGCTTGAGAGAAAATTTCAGCAGGAGTCTCCATGTGTGTTATGAAGCAGCAGCAGTTCCAATAACCTTCAAAAGTTGGGTTTTTAAAATTCTTCCATGTGGATAAACCAGCTTTTCTTTTTGCTGCCTCCATTTCCTCATCTACGTGTTGTGTTCCCTGCAGCCTTCCACTTGGCTGTGACAGTTGGCATGAGAAAGAATATGGCCCTATCACTTACTCGCCATTAGCTGAGTCAGGGGAGGCCACACAGCCTCTCAGAGTGGCCGCTGTGGGCTTTCTTAATTGCCCTCTTGGGGAACACTGAAAAGGCATAGAACTTGAAGATCTTTGCCTCCAGTGACTGCTTAGTCCATAATAGTCTAACCAGAGCAAGAGGCCAATGTCCTTTCCTGGGCTTTGGGGAAGACCGAGGCTGCTGTTTAAACTCTACCTGCTGCAGGTTTTATCACAGGCCTGTAAATGTCTCCAACATTGGTTTTCACTTGAAGGCAAACAACAGTATAGGCAATGGGAATCCCCTCAGGCTCCTCCCTACATTTCTTAAATTCCTCCACAGCTCTTTAACTTTATTCTTCTGAAAATCATTTAGGAAAATGTCCCCTCAGTAGATGAGAAATGCTTGGTCTGTGAAGTCCAGGTTGTCTCCTCTCTCTAGCCATTAGAAGCGATGACTTTTCTTCCACTTTTTGTCTTAAATGTAATGAAAATGTATCAGCTGTTGAAACCAGGCACGTTAACCTTGAATATGATTTCTGTGTTTGTGTCCTCTGCAGTCAGTATTAACTGATCTTTAAAGTCTGAAGTCGCAGAGGGGATTATTCTGCTGTGTGTAGTGCAGTCTGCAGATGTGAATTCACAGACAGCAGCTTGAAAGAGTGCCTCGAACTGCAGGGAATTTGGTGGGCCTGTTTTAAAAGCCTTGTGGGAATTTGTAAACCATAATACTTTTCACTTTTGGGAAGAATTATGGTCTGCACGTGTGCATACACACACACACACACACACACGCACACACACAAATATATATTAAAAAGCTTGACATGTAAAACACATTTGATAAGAAAGCATTAAATGTTTTCCTCTTATGTCCTAAGGTTATAATACAATAAGCTATATTTTAAGAGGAAATTATTTTTAGAATTGTACTACTGTGTTACTCTTAAGTGATTTCACGTCATACAGTTTAATTCTAAAAGGAATATTAAACAATTAAGGTGTCCTAGATTTTAAATCTTCAATAATTCACTTTGTCCAAACATGACAAAAAATTATTTATTTTTGCATACTTTACGATTCACCAGGACTCTCAAAAGCCTTTGAATGTTAGAAAGCAAGTATTTTTATACTGGTTCAGAACTGGTAAAATGCCAGCACATGATGGTCCAGTCAGTAATTAACAAACGCAATTGACTGCCCACTTGACATAGGGCTTTTTGGGCAACCCGAAATGTATCCAGTACCAGCCAAATACTGACTTAAAGAATTATTTCTGGGCTGCCTAGATGGCTCGGCAGGTCTAGAAAGCCCCGTGACAGTGCAGGTCTGACCACCAGAGTTCCATCCCTGGAATTCAGGCCTCAGAGAGTTATCTTCTTTTGACTCTCCACAGGTTCAGTGGCATGGCCATAAGTCCTCCATATCCACACAAAAGTAATAAATAGAGCTCTTAAATAACTGAATTATTCTGCTTTTTAGTTAATTACTAACCTTGATATTTGTTGCTTTCTCTTAGGAGTTAATTATCTTAATGAAAACTTTTAAATGCTACTTAGTGAGCCTAAGTACTTACTGAGTTCAATACTTTTCAGGCTAGAAACCCCCAAGCCATAGCTACATGACATTGAGCTAACACCGGATTAAATAAAAATAATGGTTACCATTCTTGTGAAGAAATACAGCTTAGGCAATTTTTTTTCTTTTGTATTTAAATTTAATTTTTTTTATTTAAAATTTAAAATGTAAAAATATTATCCTTAGATTTCTAAATACCTGACATTTGCAAATACCTTTTTTTGGTGACTAAAACTTGTAAGATCAGCTTCATCTCTTATGCGGATAAATGGGCTACTGACACTGTTGCATGTTTTTCCGGCCTGTATTATATTTTAGGTGTTACTTTAAAATTGTGTGAGAGTTTGTTTTACATTTAAATTTGTGGTTGGGGACTTATGATCATCTTTTGAGGTTTATACAGATTACAAGCTGTAGCATAGACATTAAATCCCAGGTTGTACTGTACCCAGCACTAGCTGTGACTGAGTACCTTCTCAGCCTCCCGAAATGAATCTGTGAATACCAGTCAGCGCAGACTAGGTTAAAGGGCCCTCCTTCATCTCCCCCAACCAAAGGGTCAGGCAGATCCAGGATGTATACAACCAGGCCATGCTAAGTCTCTTAGGCTATGTCGTATGAACACCGAAAGTCTGCAAGAATAAAGGTGGCAGGGTCAAAATTGTTCTTCAGAAATCAATGTGTCCTCCCTTGACAGACTATGACATTGGGTAGAAATGGGTGGGATTAGGCAAGCGCTGATGAGGTGCTGTGGTTGAAGTCCAGCGTAGGTTGGGCTGCTGGCGGCAGATACAGAAACCTGAGGAGGCTTAAGAGATGTGTCAAGTAGTGGTGGGAAGAGAAAGACCTATGATGCCTCACATAAGACATGCAGTGCTCATTTGGTAAGACCTGTAATGCTCATTTGTGTAAGGCATGCAGTATTCAGAGTGGGGCCGTTTTCCAAGAGTGCAGTATTGGAGCTTGAAGACCCAAAAGCTGAGCTTTGCTCATCCTGAACAGCTTGCTGCTTGCATGGATCAGAGCTAGAAGTAATTCCCATTAGAGGAGGTGCCCTTGGTACACACAGCAGAGGCAGAGCGTGGTGGAGAAAGGGTCAGATCCATTGAATTTTCGGCTGTGGATGACTCAAAGGATGGGTTAAATCCAGCCATAACATCACCCTGCCCTTCTTCCTGCAGGCATGTAATCTGCTGGTTATCAGAGGGAGTGCACACTGGACAGGGCTCTTGAGCCTGGGTCAGTGAAGTGCTGTTTACCTTTCAAAAAAAGATATCTAACAAAAGATCAGCTGTGTAATAAAATGTGTAGTGTTCTAGTGCCACCAGCAACCTTCGACCCCTCATCAAGATATGCTTCAGTTGTCCTATGTTTCTCAAACAGTGTGTTCAGCTCAGCGCCCTTTTTCCCATCACGTTAAACCCAAGAGCCACTTTATTTCTCACTTCTCTGTTATATCCATTTCTAATCCAAAAGCAGCCCCCAGTTTCTACCTCTGGGACACGTCTCCTGCCTGTGCCCCTGCCCACTGCCTCTGATCCTGGATGGCACTATTGCTGGTCTAAATTACCAAGTACCCCTTTAACTTCTTTTCTATTTGTTAAGACAAACACATTTGACTCCTTTAAACTCCGTTCTGCTTCTCTTCTGAGACATTCTTCACATGCCTGTTGAGTGTTGTCATAGAAGTGAGATCATTTTGTTCCCTTGTTCAAAACCATTACACAGTTTTCTTTGTATTTAAGGTAAAATTGTATAGAACCCAGCATACATGGTGCCAGGCAGCCTGCCAACTTTCTGCTTTTCCATGCTTTTCTCTTACCCAGTGTCCTTATCTCAGCCATTTGCATGACAAACTCTACTTATCCCTGAGACTTCTGCTTGACATGTTGAGTCTTTCCTTTCAGACATTTTCTCCGTAGTTTGGGTCATAAGTGACAGAAGGAGTAGCTATTGGAAACCTGGGGCCACAAAGACTGCAGGTTAGAATCAGAGCTACTTTTAAGGCTGTGAGACTCAACTTTGCAGGTAGGAGCTGTCCACAGAACCAAATAGGATAATTCAAACATTTTTAATCAAATGAGGCCTCGTGAGAACAAAGCAGCTACAAATTGTGGACTCACTTAGATTCCAGATGTACTTGAAAGCCCCACAATAACATTGGCACAGCTCGGCCATACGTTCACTGTGCTCAGTGACCAGGACACATATGCTCATGCCCAGTTTCCTCCCAGGCTGATGCTGTACAGAGTGCAAAGAGCGCATGAAGTTCAAGGGTAGAGTGGCATAGGCAGATGTCAACTCTGCTCCTCACTAGCTGGCACACATAGCCAGTCCACAGGACACCTGAGAACAGACTAAAAGTTTTAGGACTGACACCTGCAGGAACTGACCCCTCGACTTTTCCATTTACCAGGGATTTAGTTATTTATTTTTAAGTCTTGGATATGAAAGTATCAAGCATGGCTTTAGAATGTGGCTTTCCATATAAGTGTGACTAGGGTATTCTCTAAGTTCAGGGTGAGCATATTCAGATAAGTTCTAGTTTGACACATGAAGAAAAAACAGCATGTTTGCTCCTTTATTTCTGCTGCCAAGTTTTAATCTTGTTCTACTTTTAGATTTATTTATTTGTTTGTTTTTGTTACATTTTTCTTCTTACTTAAGAGTGCTCTGGCATGCCCTTTCAACTCTAGTATGTTCTCCCTGCTACATGTATGTAGGTCTTCCTTAGCCTTGACAGAACAATGGCACGCTGTTTTCTTACTTCCACATAGGATTTTTGGAAAGCATTATTAACTGTAAAGATAATTGCTTGCCGTTGCTCACTGGTTTTATTTTTTTCTCCCTCTTTTTCTAGGACTATGACAGTTTTTTTGAGTCGAAGGAGAGCAACACAGTCTTTTCGTTCTTAGGTCTGAAGCCACGGCCCACATCCACGTCCACGGTAGGTTAACCTTGTGTACTCAAGACCGCCAGCCCTCTGCTTTCTGCTTCGTCACCCAGGGTAGGTGACCCCTCTGCTTTCACTTCAGAGTCTGTCTTGCTGGAGTGGACTGTAGGGGCTGAGGAGGGACGGGTAAGCAGTGTGCCTCTATGCCTAAGTGTTCAGGCCCTCAGTGAATACAGGCAGCAGGGTTAAACACATCTGACTCCTTTAAACTCCATTCTGCTTTTAACTTCTTTAAATCAGAATATTAGTTCACTTTTAATTTACGCCCCTACTCTTTGAATAGGAGTTTAAAGCAGCAAAATAGTTGGCTAGTTTCTATTTAAATTAAAATTTCATATTACATTTTATCCCTGTGTCTGTACCTGTAGTGTTTATTATTTGTTTGCTCACAGATTGAAAATACTTGGAAAAAAATCACATCTGTACTGAACATGTGCAGCTTTTCCCTGTTCTTATTGTTATTGGTTTGCTTATTTGTTTGTTTGCTTGTTTGTTTTGAGATGGGATCTTTCTGGAACTAGCCTTGAACTTGCAGAGATCCTCCTGCCTCTGCCTCCCAAGCACTGGGCCTTGCTGTCCTTATTTCTTAAATAATAAGTAGAGCATAACACCTGTTTGCATAGATGTCCGCTGTTGGAAGCACCTCACTCACCTGGAGATGCTCTGGGCCACGTGGGCAGCTGTGCACGGATGAAGTGCAGCTGCTGTGTCCTGGAGAGACTAGGGAGTCCTGGGGTCCCAGTGAGGACATGGAAGGGTTCCCACAGATGCCGAGGGTCACGTTACAGTTCCTAAAGCAACCTGAGTACTTTTAAAGCCTCTTGATTGAGTCACATCACTTGGAAAACACGAAGAACCTGATTTGTCTTGTGCCAAGACTTAGAAATAATGCACATTTTCACAGCCACATAAAGCACAAGATTTACTTCAGAAATAAAAATAAAAAGATACTCATCAAATAACTTAATAGTTTGGTTGTTTCATTTAAAAATACTGGTTTGTAATAGAAAGGTAACTTAGGCTTCTATTTTTTGCATTGGAAAGAATATTAAAATCACCACCTAGAGCCGACCACATTGTCAAGTTTCCAGTTTGTGTTACAGTCTTTATGTGCATAGCATTTGAGACTTAGTACAGCTCAAGCTTGGGCTGAATTCTAAAGTGTCTATTTTTAACACAGCTGAACCTGCAGTGCATTGTGGGAACTTTGTCTAAGGAACAGGTCCTCTGAGGCTGCCTGGGCTAGGTGCTATCTCGGGAGCACCTGTGGGAGGAAGCAGAGGCCCTCCAGCAGCACCTTCGGAGCAGAGTCACCGTGAAAATACACTTTGTTTTTGCATTGCCAAGCCCACAGATGGGTTGTGGGCGGTTCCTCTGCACAGGTTTTTAGCAAAGGCACACCCACATAGAAAGTATTTACAGGTTCTTAAAACTATTTTTATACAACTCAGACATTTGAGTATTTGTTAGGAAATTAGTATTTGTGTAAAATATTTCACTCAAAGATATTAAACAATCCAGATTTATCTTCAGAGTACTGGGGGATAAAGTGGTGTGTGTGTGGGGGGAGCCTGGGGCAAGGATTACCTGATAGCAGCAGGAACCAGTAAGCACCATTTTCTGTCAAAACCTTTAGAAAAACTGTCTGTGCGCTATCTTGGTTCCCATTTTCTCCAAAGGTACAGATTCTGTAGATTCAGCAGGCTGGTGTTTTTGTTGTAGACCAGTTGTCTACAACCTGTGGGGCATGACCCCTTTGGGAGGGTTGAATGACCCTTTCCGAGGGGTTGCGTGTCAGATATCCTGCACATCAGATGTGTACATGATGATTCATAACAGGGACAAAAATCACAGCTATTAGGTAGCAACAAAAGTAATGTGATGGCTAGGAGTCACCACAGCATGAGGAACTGTGTTATAGGCTCTAAGCATTAGGAAGGTTGAGGACCACACTGCAGACAGTGAGGCCGGGGCTGTAGTTCAGTCACTGCAGTGATTGTTTAGCATGCATGACCCCAGCACTAACTAAGCTGAGCATAGTATGACATCCCTGCAGAATTGGAGGGCAGGAGTCAGAAATGTAAGCTCTCCCTCAGTTCCATAGCAAGGTCCTGGCCAGATGAGGCTGCTTGAAACCCTGGCTCAAAACAAGAGTAATGGAATCCCACAATGTATTCTCTCTCTCTCTCTCTTTTTTTTTTTTTAATAAATGTTTTATTTAATTTAAAGATAATTTTAAAAACAAGTGACATTTGTAGGGGCATTCCACTTATAAATATGAAGTCCTCTACTATTGAGATAACTTTTTCTTAATTCCTCCCAGTAATGTTTTATAACATTCAGAGTCTTTTTATTGTTTTAGGCCTATATATGATTATCTTTGTAGTTTTTTTTTTCTTTGTAGGCTTAAAATGTTATCATGGTTTCAATTTTCCGGTAAAAATATTTATTCATGATCTATGAAAGCATAATTTTGATTGTTCTATCTTTTTGTTGCCTTATAATAACTACTCTCAGTTTTAGTAAGTATTTACTTTTCTTTTAGCTCCTTGGGATTTTTTTATTAAATTTTTTATATCAATTACAGTTTATTCACTTTGTATCCCAGCTGTAGCCCCCTCTCTCCTACCTTCCCAATCCCACCCTCCCTCCTTCATATCCTCCTATACCCCTCTCCAAGTCCACAGACAGGGGAGATCCTTCTCCCCTTCCATCTGACCCTGGCTTATCCAGTCTCATCAGAACTGGCTGCGTTTTCCTCCTCTGTGGCCTGGAAAGGCTGCTCCCCCATTAGGGGGAGGTGGTCAAAGAGCCAGCCACTGAGTTCATGTCAGAGACAGTCCCTGTTCCTCTTACTAGGGAACCCACTTGGAGACTGAGCTGCCATGGGCTACATCTGAGCAGGGGTTCTAGGTTATCTCCATGAATGGTCCCTGGTTGGAGAAACAGTCTCAGAAAAGACCTATTGCTATCCTTGTGGAGCTCCTGTAGAAATCAAGGACGCCAGACATACAATGTCTGGCATTGTAAGCATTTGTAAAGAAGTTATGGTCTTTGCAGGGTCCATTCTTAATGCACATGATCAATGTGGTGGTTGATCAGTGTGATATATGGTCTTAGTCCCATTGAAGTTGGTCCCTCAAAGGGCAGACATGGCCTGGGAACAGAGTTCCTGGCCAGGAGCCCTTCGGACAGCACACAGCCCTGGCATAGTATGTGAGCCATGTGCATACTTGACCCATGAGAGCTGTAGAGCACAGCAGTGCTCACACTTGATCTTCATCTAAGACGAGTGGAAACATAAGAGCTAGTAAGGGCCTCCCCCCTTTAGTTGCTTATTCACATTGGTTATAATTCATTATAAAGTGCTCAGTTTAAGGCTTGGACAAAGTGGTCGTAGATGTGATACAGCAAAACTGACCCTGTCATCTCTCCTACCGGCTGCAGCATGCACACGTAAAAGACAAAGCCAGGAAGCACAGAAGCTGGCCGTTAGCATCTGTCATTGCCCCATGCAGTAGCCAGGAGACTATTGATGACGACCCTCAGGCAGATGTGTATTGGCTCTGACTGGGCTGTTCCACAAAGCAGAAGTTAAGGCCAGAGGTCACTACACAGTGGCCCAACAGCCGCACTGGCTCAGGACATATTGTTTGTCTTTTTAAAGTAAAAGACAAATCAATTGCTAGCATGTAAAATGAAGGTTTTCCACCCATCAAAGCTGGGGGAGATGGAAGTAACAGGAAGGGAACACCAAGTGGCAAGAGTCAGCAGTGGCTGGCCTCCATGGAATCACCCTAACTGAGGAAAGGGAGCCCATTCACTAGCAATATTCAGGTAAAAAAGCCACGAAGTTCATTTTTCTAATAGACCGCAGGCAGATCCTGTTACAGAAATCCCTGCTTCCAGTCCCTATCTTCCTTCAGGAGGTGATTTTCAGAGTCCACAACAGCTGATGGCACTGTACACTCTTTGGCCATATCTGGTGACACTTGTTTAATTGGGCCATGGGGACAGACAGAGTGGCACTAGGCAGTGATGAGGCTTTGTGACCAATGTGGCCATTCTGATGTCATTCACCCAGGGTCACCCTTAACCAGGGCGTCTTCATTCCCCTGCTGTGAGCTCCTAGCACACAGCTCCTTCAAAGGAAGGAGACTTGGTGGCTGCTGAAAAATGGGGCTTTACTTGTATGTTTGCAGGTTGGATGTGTATGACTAAAATCGAGGCTCTGGCTTTAAAAGCCAGGACTTGCTCCCATCAGTCACAGAGGGGGACTCATTATGACCTCCCCCATCTGTGTTCCTGACATTAAAAAATATATGTTGCCAAAGGCAAATTTTCTCACCAATGCAGCATAATAACTGTGCCTTTTTTCCTCTTCTGTTTAATAGACTGAACCTTAGAGCTAAAGAGTAGAAGGTGATGGAGTTGCATTTTGGAGCACCCCTGGTACTGAGCACACACCTGCTTACCTGATGCATCACTGTGATGAAGCCACATGCACAATCAGTAACTTCGCTTGACCTGGAAAAGGTGTTTTTGGAGGACACAGGAACATGGGGGACTGCATGATTGTTCTAAGCCAATCAGGACGATGGTGATGGATTCTCGTACTTTCTGATTTGTCTGCAGTCGCCCCACTCACCTGAAAGTACTATCACCTGTGCTAGGTCTGCTTCCTTAATGACTGATAGACAATTGGGAGAAAACGTTGGGCCCATCCTGAGTCTTATTAGATGCTAGTATTATAACCCCAATCCCCTCTGAGCTGCCTGCATCACTTCCTTGAAACCAGTTTGCCAGCACAGTATCATCTTTGAATCGGAAAGAAGAAAGCAGTGCTGGCTGACAAAGGACACCGAGGGTTCTTGCTGCAGAATCACAAAATGTCACTACTTTGGTACTTTGTAATAACACCTGCTGGAAAAGTTAGATGCTCTCAGCAACTTTCTGTGAAAACCCTCACCGCTGTACATTCTCCAGGCTTTTACGGGTGCTTCCAAAACCACCATTGCAATATGGGATGATCACAACCAAGTTACAGGGCAGAAAAGAATGGCTGTTCTGGAAAATGTCTCCTCTTTTATCTCCTGCAAGGGGGCAAGTTCACTCTATGCTTAAGACTACTTGAGATGTATTTTAAGAAGTGCACTACGTAGATAGTAAGCTAATGGAAAGTTGCTCTGTCAGGATGCGAAGGCATTTTTCAGCTCTTGCAGTTTACTCACACACACATGCGCATATATGTTTAAACGCAGCTCCCCAAAGTAACGGCTGCCTGTTCTATTTTGTGAAGGGATTATATTTTTGAAGAAAGGAAATGCTTGGTTAGGTATATTTTGTGAATCCGTGATGCCAGCACTGCTGGGGCTGGGGCTCAATGGTAGAACGTTTGCATGGCTCGCACAGGGCTCTCTCTGCGCTCAGCCCCAGCACCACTGGAAAGGAAAAAAAGACGCAAAGATTGCTGTGTAGTGTGATTTCCCACGTTACTTACTGTAGTCTCTCTACTCCCTTTGTTCATATTTCAGACTAATTCACAGTCTCCAGCTTTCCAGAATAGCACAGCCATGTGTTCTTGCCTGGTGTATGAGCACAAGTGAGATTTCAGAGCAGCATAGACAAGAATGGGGCTGTCTAGAGCACGATCCTGACTGGTTCTTAGGAAGCAAAGTCCCTACTCCCTTTGGGTGGACATTGGTGAACACTGAACATTTTTATTTCATCAGAGCAGAGATAGCTTTTCTATATCCGGCATATTTTAGAGTTACTTGCCAAACATATGGATAGCCTGGAGTGGATAAACTCAGGCTGACTGAAATCTCCACCTATCCCTAGCAGCAGGATGCTGGACCTTTCACTCTGATACTGAGAAAGGAATGTTTGAGAAATTGAAAGAGTAAATAAGTGGCTGTCCCTCCACCTCTACCTAAAGCTTCACTAATGGTGGCCAGTTCTGCAGCATTTTTTGGACACTAAAACAGATCTCAGCCTGAGATTTGCAGTCCTGTTACAACCAGAAGAAAGGACACCTTTCTTCATGAATGGACCAAATGATTGATGCACAGTTTTCCCTCTAGGGAAAGCTTGTCAAGTCATGGATATTAGTAGGTAGTTTAGTATTAAACAAGATCCAAAGCAAATTCCATTTGACAAATCCCAGGGACTTCCCAGGATTTTTTTTTTCCTCTTCTAACTGGATACTGTGCTTGAGTTTGAGTCTTCCTTCAAGACATGTTTCTACTTAAAATAGAGCAATTTAAAAAGTTGCAGTTTAAAAAGAAACCATATGAGCTTACATTGATCAAGTCTGCTCTTGCCAATGAGGGCTAAGAACCAGTTTGGCAAAGTGACATCTTAGCATGTTTTTGATTGTAGGTACAACAATCCTACAATGCTGAGGAGACAGAGAAAGCTATCAGAATTTGTTATACAACTTTTTAGTTGTCCATACTGTTAAACACGCTGACTAGATGGTGTTCTTAGAATTACCATTAATTAACATATGCAATATGTTACCATTGCATATCATTTTCTTGCCATTATTCTTCTGCGAGCATTGGGAAGTCAGCAGAGAAAAATGAGATTACTGATAGTGACCTACTTCAGTGGCTAGAAGCCACAGTTTATGCAGTCAACTAAAGTTCCCAGGCAGTGGTGTGTGCAGAGCATGTTGGGTCTCGTATAGTTACCCATCTGACTTCTGACTGACTTCTCTCCTTCCTGTCTTCCTTTCCTTCTTTCTGCTTGTTGTTTGAGACAGTCTTGCTATGTAGACCTGGAACTCATGCCTGCTTCTTCCTTCCAAGTGCTAAAAGTACATACTTGCTGAAATAGTGTTCTTCTTATTCCCTTTGATTAGCTTACCTTTAGATTTAGTCACCACCATCTTCAAAGCCTAGGAAAGAAGTGCAGGCATGGCTGTATTGCCAGTGGCTTTCAAGGCAGAGTGCTGACATCCTGTAGGCTTGTAGGACGAAGAAAATGTGCCACTGATGACCAAATGGTGCCATTTTAACATTAGGTGAACATGAAATGCCATATTGCTAGGTGTCTGCAGACCAGAAGAAAATTTAGTTCAGGAAATACTTTGCCAAATTGTAGGGTTTATTAAAATCAAAGAGAAGAAGAAGCTATTTTGCCCTTAGTTGCTAATATATTTTAGTTTTTCCATTTTATAAAGTTAATCCAACATTTGCATTTTTATATGGTGTGAATTTAGCCACCTAAATATTTTATTTGTTATTGAAAGGTACCAAAGGCTTTTTATGTTTTGTTTGGTTTGTTTGATTTTATTTTGTTTGATTTATGGGGTTTGTTTTTTCTAGAGATACCTTTTATAGAGAATTACCCATGACTGTCTGGGTCACTTCAGTCTGTGCAATTGTTTTGATCTCAGTTTGTTTGTGTTTGTCTCTCAAGGCATTGGTGAAATCTTAGACTTTATGTTCTACATTAAAGGAGAATAAATTCCAGAAAACATGCAATATGAAACTGGACTGGTTTCTTTCCATTCTCTTTCCTTTTCCAGCTTTTCTTCTGGAGTTAGCTGGATCCTTCCTCTTTCGCTAGCAAGCTGAGTTTCTGCTCTCATCCCTGAAAGGGTTAGACTGTTAAGTGCAGTGCTCATGCAGACACTTACTTGAGAAGGATGCGTGTGGTTCTGCCTGGGCACACTGGGAGGAGCACAGAGCTCTCCCTGGCAGTCCAGGGCTAAGGTGGGGCTTACTCAGTCACTAGTCTAGGTATATTATGTGGTCTCCCAGGCACGCTGAAGCCCCTCTAGAGGTTTGTCTCATACTGGCTGCAGAAAAACACCAGAGGTGGCCGTGACTTCTCTCACTTGGTCTTTCTTTGGGCCACATTGGGCAGCAGAAGAAAACATTTCTGAAGGCGGGAGCTAAGGCTAAACACACCAAGAAACAATTGCAGAACTTAACACCAGGACAGAAGGAGGGTGGAGGAGGGGTCAGAGGCAATAAGCTATAAGCTGGAAGAAATGTGTCAACTCATGAGGCCAAATCAGTAAACAGCTCCTGCCTGTTTGTGACCTAGATTCCCAAGGGCGGGTTTCCAGCTCTAAACACAGCGGCAGATTAGTACGGCTGCCATTTCTGCCAGCATGTGTTACGCCCTCACAACGTGATGGGTGCTGCCTCAACAGTACAGTAAGAGGAGGAGGAGAGCAAGCAGAGGCAGCAGGTACTGTCAGTGGCAGGCCAGGTAAGTTTCCAGGACTCCCACAGCTCATCTTCAGAAATGCCAATGGTTTTTTCCCTATTAAAACCATCCCAACTTTATAGATTTTTGGATTATATACATACCTACTTAACCATAAAGAGTAATAATTAGTTACCCCTGTATGCCTGCTGCCTGCCTTATTGCCTTTCCTCCTAGGCACCCCACATACCCTTTCCTGACCTCCTCCTTACCCCTATTGAATAAAGAAAGCCTTACCCTGTATTTGTGTGGATCGAAGCCTTCCTACCCTTTAGCACTCCGTCTCCATGTATGTATCCTTCAAGAAAAATAAACAGAATTAAACCAGATACTGTATTTCTTTTAATGTCCACTGCAGTGGGGGCTTTCATTGTTACACATTATTCCACTATAGGAATATATAACATTTTTTTCTCCAGTTGTTGACTATGGATATAGTCAACAATATGGAATATTACTATGAATATTCTTTCATTTGACTTCTTACACAAGAGTGGAGCCACACGTGAAGTAGTATTGCTGCCTGTATAGAAAGAGCACACATTAGCTCTAAGGACAGAGACAGAGTGCTTCCTCAAGCTATGGCACCAGTGTGTAACTCCCACTGGAATGCTAACTCTTCCAGGACTACTGATCCTGAACAACCTGCACGGTTGTGAGACATTTGTGCCAAGCGTGTAGTGTAAAATAGTATCTCATGGTTTCATTTGGCTTTGTGTGTTTTTTTTTAATCACTAGTAAATAGAACATGTTTATCATGGGATTCTTGTGTTGAACTTCCCTGCTATTTGGCTATGTGGCTGTGTTTTTAGTTACTGGATGTTCTGTTTATATTGCTTGGGATTGAACCCAGGGCCTTGCACTCAGTAGGAATTCTACCACTGAGACATACTTCTAGCCCAGGAGTTAGTGGAGAGAAGCCAGGAATAAACAGTCTTCTGAAGCTTTTTCCAGAAATGTGAAATACACATGCATGTTTATTCTGCCCAGGAGGTGAAGGTGAGTGTTCTACTTTACATCCTGTTGACAGCCATGAGACATGCTTGGGGACATCTCTGCTCTAGGGGGCTGTCATCTCTGAAGGTATCGTAAGCCTTATCAGTTGATTATTTGGCAGGAAATCGATGTCATTAATGCTACGATTCAGTCTGCCTTACGGGATTTCACCAGAAGGGAATCTTTATACAGACTTTATGCTTGTGTGTGCATGTTTGCCTAGGATGTCAGCAGACAGTGGGCCTGGAGCAATGGGCCAAACACGGCATGACACTTAAAAGAAAAATGGTTGCTAAGTCACAGGGGGTTCTATTGAACTTAAGCTCAGGCTGGGATAATGCTCAGGCTGGGTAAAGAAGACCCATGAGTGCGGAGCATAACCTAGTGAATGGCAGGGGCAGGAGCTTCCATGTGGGTGGAGCTACAAGGAACTAGAATAGAATGCAAGCTTCCCTTCCTGGTGAGGGTCATTTTCAGTAGACTGTGGGCACTGATACTTTATATTAACAAAAACTTGTTACAGTGAATAGAACAAAAATTGAAAAGAACTTATAAAACAGACCTCTACACTGTTATACGTAATAGGGGGCCCTATAGTAATAAAAATCATCATAACTAAACCTTCCCCTGAAGACGCTTTAGAGCGAGTGTCTGTGCCCACCAGTGTTACGTGGAATGAAGCTCTGCAGTTCACAGTGGCGCTGCCCATCATACCAGCGAACCACGTGAGGCACTGGGCCCTTGAAATGTGCCCACTTGGGTTCCTGCCATGGTTTAAGTGTAAAGATTGCAGATTTCATATTTATTGTGAACATTTTAAGGAAGCTCATGAATAGTTTTTTAATTGGTTACACATTAAAACAATATCCTGAATATATTAAGTTGGATATTAAAATGATTACTTGCACCCTTACGGATATTTTAGGTATCGTATGTGGTTTTCATTTTCCTGCTAGGCAGCACTGTTCTGTATCACTCTTTGCTTGAGAAGTAAATACATTTAAAATACTTTTAGGTCTTGGTTAAATTCTTCATTTATAATACTGAAAGAAACAGCAAACGTCTTTTCTGATATAGCTGCCAAAATGACTTTCTCATTCAGCTTTTTGCCCCTGTAGTGCAAAGCGTTTTTGGTTTTTTGTTTGTTTGTTTGCTTTTTCTTCTTCTTTTTTCTATTGGAGGGAATGTCTCTTCTCCTGGACACTGGCAGTGCCAGGGGTTGTCAGAATGCATGACATCTCTCTCTCCAGCCTCCTGTTTCCCATCATCTAACAGAGCTCATGTCTGGAGTTGCCCTGTGTCTGAACTAGGTCACAGTGGCATTTTGTATTTTCTGCTTTCAAAGGGGGATGCAATGACCCGCACAGATGCCAGCTGTAATCTGCAGAACCGTGCTGAACGTTCCTGGGACTTAGCCCTTCGTTCCCCAGTCATCTGCAAAGCTTACAGAGATACGTGGATGTGGATAAGTTGCTCTTTGGACATTTCTTTCTGGTTGTATTGCCAAAGTTTAAAACTGACTGCCAGGAGTTTTAACGTTCATTTTGCTATTCTCTTGAAATATTTATTTTGAGGTAAACCTATAATATTCTTGCCATTAAGATAATTCAGTGGAGGATTTTTTTTTCTTTTTCTTTTTTTTTTTCTCATTTTTTTTTAATTACTTTAGGAAACTTCCCCGTAGTGAGAATGATTTAGTTGAATAGTTCTTGCAAGCCTGAGAGACATCAGCCATCTGCATTCCATTTGCTGCTAGTCCTGTAGCTTAGGAACCCATAATCTGCTGTGTTCATGAACTTCATACCTGTGCAGGATTTCACTTTATTCAGTGGGCAGAAACATGTTAAAAATAAACATTCTTGTTAATCAAACTTACGTTATTAATGTCATCATCTCACTCATTCCACGTGCTTAACCTCCCCTGATTTTTCTCCCTGCCAATCCGTTTCATGTCATGTGCTAATAAAATCACTAGGTAGATACGAAGATTTGGGGTCTGGGAACATCTAAAGCTTGGCTCCATGACAAATGCCAAGGACAGCAGTCATGCCCGAAGGCTAACAGTCTGGCAACAGAAGGGCTTCCCCTCTCCTCTCTCCTCCCGTCTCTGACCCCGATGTGCTCCCGGAAATGTGGGACAAAATGTGATGACAGAAGCAGCATTCAGCCTGAATTCAGCCTGAAGCAGTCTTCAGCCTGGGAACCCGAGGAACCCCTGGCTGCAGGTTCCACACGGGCTGTCTTAGTAAATGTCTGTCCGCCTTGGCCAGCATTCTGATCATGTATAAGAAACTGGATGTTGGCCGGTTATCCAGCCTGCCCCAAAAGTGGCTCTGCCAACAGGATTTTAGCTGCTAAAATCACTACAGCATTCACACCTGTGGACAACATCCGAACAACAAGAAACCTTCCCAGTCATGACTCACCCGGGCACCGTGCTGCCTCTCAATGAAGGGCAGGCCAGTGTGACCAGCTCTGCTACTGCAGCCTTATGGGAACCCCAGTGGGCAAAGAGCTCCATCTGTCGTAAGCGCAAGCAAAAACTGCTGGAATCCAGCTAGACAGCTTCAAGAGTTCTGCCAAGCCCAGACAGTAACGTGGAGGAGTCTTTCTCAGGAGGCATCCCTTCAGCCCCGTGTGGAGGATAGAGCTGTAGATGTTGGTCAAGGTCTGTTTCCTCCTAAAGCTTTCCCCATTAGTAACAGCTGCTTATTAGTGACTCTTAGCAAGTGGCTCTTTGTTGGTGCTATTTTCAGTATGCCCTTACAACTTACGTCTGGTGGTTTGCTTGGGAATCGGTATCATACGGTAATTTGTGTGACATGGCAGAGGAAAAAAGATCTTCAAGTAAGCTGTCCAGCCAAGACCTGAGTATCTGTGCCAAGTCTGTGTGTGTGTGTGTGTCTGTCTATCCCATTGTGCTGGGTTGAGCCAGGATTTCATACATGCTAAGCAAGCACTCCTTATTATGCTGCTATGTCCCTAGCCTTTAAGTCATTTTTTTCTTTCCTTTGTATGTTGCCTTATGTCTTTAAATTGGTGAACTTCCGGGAAAAACGAACCTTTCCATCTCCAGTGAGGGCATAATCACGAGTTCATGCCCAGATGCATTGGTCAAGGTGAGACCCTGCTCTTCTAGAACCATTTTGGTGAGTTTGCCGAGGGCCAGTTTAATGCTTATGTTTGCACGCTGCTGTTAGAGTCTAGTGCTTTTGCTACGCTGCCTGTGAGTATAAATGTTGACATTGCTTCTCTCGTGTGTTTAATTGTCTTTAGTT